GGGAGGCGGGCGCCGCCGCCCGCCCCGGGCTCCTCGGGGCGGTGGACGGATGGCTGCCCGCCGTGCTTTCCCTGTTCCCGGAATCTGGATCCCTCCTTCCGCCCAGATGCCTCGCAGGGCCTGGGGGTCTCTGTGCCGGGGACGGGGACGGGGACGGAGAGCACAGCAGGCCCCCCCCGAGCCATCACCTGTTCACGAGGTGGAAATACTTCTGCAGGAAGCCGGGGTCCACGGAGCTCTTGCAGAGCTCCAGCTGTGTCTGGGGGTAGTAGTGCACGTAGTTGACGCACATCTCCTCCAGGATGCCGAAGCCACCCTGCCAGGCGGGAAGACGCCCGTCAGCTCCGCCCCTTTCCTCCCGGCCCCACCCTCAGCTTCCAGCGTTTTCTTTGGTTCATGCGTTCATTCATTCATTCATTCATTCATTCACAGATCGGGTGGTGCCAAGTGGAGCTCCGCGCTCTGCAGCCACACTGAGAACCGGTTTACGGAAGGGATGCGGGGGGCGGGGCACCCCTGCCCTCCAGCACCTACACTCCAGGTGAGGCATAAGGCTCATGAAAGTGCAGATGGTCGGAGGCGGAAGCCCGCGGGCCCACGTGCTCCAGGGGCGGGCAGCACAGAGAGGTCGGGCGACTTACCACGGTGGCCAGCTTCCTGTCTCCCGTGTTGTATGTGCAGGAAGTGATGAGCACATCCCCCTGCCGAGCCAAGTTGACAGACGCCCGTCAGCACCTGGCCACCTGGGGTAACAGGTGTGCTGCGCCTGTCCCCACGTGGGACAGAGCCCCTGCACACGCAGTCATTGATCCATTACCGAGAAGCCCAGCAGTGGCCCTTCGGCCACCACACGTGAGAATCACAATCTGAGTGTCCCCAGGGAGTGACTATTCATCAGCTTCCGTGACCCCTTAGTGCCCGGGCTGTGGGCAGACCGGCTGGTCACGTCACAGCTGTCAGTGGACGTGGGCAGGCCCCAGCTGGCCTGGGGTCCCCCTTCTGCATGATCCCCACACCCTCATCTCTCCCTAAGCTCCTGGGATTTGTCGCCTGATTGGGTGGGTGGACCCACATCACCCTGAGCACTATCTCTGTGGCCTCTCAGTGGGTCTCCTGACGATGTTCTGGGAGACCTCTCCACAGCCTCTGCCCACCCCGCTCGCTTTCCACCTCTCCCCTCCGGGGACTGCCCTCCTAGCCTCCCCACCTGGCCAGTCCCTCATGGTCACTCACCGGGTGGACGGACACGACCTTCTTTAACATGCGGATCTCCTATGGGCGGAGGGAAGGCGGGACCTCAGGGGACCGAAGCCCGACTCTAACCACCTCCCCGACCCTCTGGGGGGGGTTCGATTGTCCCAGCTCCTGGGGGTGAGGGGGGAGCTGGGACTGGCTAAGCTCAGCCTTTGACAGGAAGGGATTAGAACAAGATGGTGGTTGCCAAGGCAGAGGCCACCGCTGGCTGCCCGGACCCTCCGAACCCTGCAATCAGCCGCACGCCAGAGCCCCTCCCTTAGAGGAGCCCCCCCGGGGACGGGCTGGCCGCTGCGCGCCCCTCAGGTGTCTGCGCCAGCGCAGGAGAAGGGCCCCCAGCACCGCGTGTCTCTGCAGCTGTCACGGAGAAAAGGTCAGGGGGCCGGGCGGGGAGCGGTGGGCCTCACCTGGAAGTGAGGGCTGTAGTGGTCGTCCCTGTTCACGACCTCCCTCTCTCGGCCGCCCCTGGCCAGCACGGTGATCACCTTCCTCCCCGTCAGGTGCGTGTGGAGCTGCGAGGCGAAGATGTGGATCCCTGAGGGGGGCAGGGCCTGCAGGGTCAGAGGGCGGCGGAGTCAGAGGGCAGCGGGGTCAGGGCAGACCACGCGGGGGACCCTGGTGACCGCCGGCCACGGGCCACTTCCTAGGACGTTTGCAGCCCGGGCCTGGTCTTTCTCCCCACGGGTTACATCCCCGTCGAGAAACGGAGGAGGAAATGAGCCGCACTAAGGCATCTTCGTGGAAAGAGCCAGCTCTCCCCAAGCCCGGCCTGGGGCCCCCAGAGGCCCGCTGGGGTGCGGGCGGCTCCCTCTCAGTCCTCTCTTGAGGCCCCTAAGGCCGATCATTGGTTCCGTGTTCGTTCGACAGACTTCGGGGGGCAGCCGTGGGCAGGGGCTGCGGAGGGCGTGTGGCTGGGGACTCAGTGCCGGGTGGTCCCGTCCAGCGCCTGCCACGCCGGGCACCGCTCGGCGTGACCTCGCTTGACCCGCACAATCCCCAGGCAGCGTCCCCCGCTGTCGGTGACCGGGTATTGCTACAGCTGTGGCGCTGGCCGTCGGGGCTGCCCGCTGGCCGCACGGAAGAGGCGGCCTCGCTCCCAGCAGGCGCCTCGCTTCCCCGTCAGAGCAGCGGGGGACTCTGCAGACCACGGACGGTTCCCCCGACCGAACGCTAACTTTGTGTAGACGGAACACGTCCTGAGATGGACCACGCGCTCCGAGCGCCTCTTCACTGACCGGCGCCGACGCAGCCTGCTCTGTTTTGTCCACACTGCGGGCGGCTCAGGGAGTTCCCGGTGCCGTGGGCCCGTCACCGAGCGACTGCTGCACGTCCCGAGTCATCTCCGCGAGTCATCTCCGCGAGTCATCTCTATCAGCCCCGGGCTTTCCGCCCGCCCTCCGCCAGCTGCCATCCCTGCCCTCGTCCCTATTGATAGCTTTCGCCCCCTTGCGAGGATTTGAGGGCTGGGGGGTCTGAGGGGTGGGGGCCGTGGTCTGAAACGTTATCCCGTCCTCAGCTTGTCCTTGAGCGCCCGGACCTCCGACTGCAGAATCTGTGCCCCTCCGTGACCTGCTAACGGAGGGAAACGTCCCTTCGATGAGTGTTCCCCGAACGTGCAATTTCAGAAGTACGCGGAAGGGGCGGAAGAGACAGTTGAGTTGTCTTCGTTCCGCGGCTGCGACGTGTTCGGAGACCCTGAGGTCTGTGTTCTCAGGCCAGCAAGAGGCACGCTGAGGTCGGCGGGTCACGGTGGCCTGGGTCCCGGCATTAGGTGGCCACTTGGCCTGGGATTGCGCCCTCCCAGTGGACCCCGAGGAGGTCACTGCCCAGCCCCGGACCCAAGCCAGGGAGCTTTTCGCACAGCAAAAGATGTCACCGATGGGAGATCTGTGGACGGGGCGAGCGTGTCAGATGCTGGGCGTGGTGACGAAGTCTCACGCCCGGTGTCCGACAAAAGGAGCAAACTGGAGAAAGGTTACGAACAGGTAGTCACAGAGAAGGACCGATGGCCGAGGGGCAGGTGAGAAGGTCCTCGAACTCCGCAAACGGTCAGGGAACCCACACCGAAGGGAGGGAGGGGGGTCTCACAAGTGATGGAGAGACTGCTTCCAACACTGATGGCGTGGTGGTGGCTCAGTCTGGGCGCCGATGACGAGGCCACCGTTCAGCGCAGGCCGGGGCAAGCGGACACGGGGAGTGCAAGGCCTTGGGAGGGTCCTTTCTGCTCCTCTGGAAGCTGCGTTCCCCCCACTGCCTGCTCCGGGTCTAAGCGCTGACCTGCCGTGGCACGGCCTCACGAACCTGGCGTTCTACGCCCTGGGCACCCCGCTGGCCTCGCGTGGGCCTCCCCGCCCCGCCCCGCCCCGCAGTGAGTCCGCAGTGACAGCCAGGCTGCTCGGTGCTAGGCGGTGGTCAAACGCAAGCCCAGGACTCATGCCCGCTGTTGGCTTTGCGGTCAATCACCCCGCCCGAGAGGACGTGCAGGAATGTGTAGGGGAGAAGTCTGGGACACCAGAGAGCCACCAAGCGGCTATCTCGGGGACCGCGGGAGGGTGCTGGGGCTGGGCGCTTCATCCTGAGGGGCACCCCCTGAGTTTCTGGTGGTGGACGTGTGTCTGCCTTACTCGTGGGAGGAGCGTGTGTTTTAAAACGCGGCGCCCAGAGGCGCTAGCACGCGGCGTGGGCTACGTGGACGCCTGGTTCCTGCTCCGGAGGGAGGCGCAGGGCAAACCGGCCCACTGGAAGGCCATGGCGACGCTGCAGGGGGACTCAGGGGGCGGGCATCAAAGCCACCGAGCGTCCTTCCTGGGCCCCCACCTGCGGGGCCTCCGCGGGGGCCCCAGGCCCAGCCCCACTCACCAGCTGGGTGCACTTGTCCGTGCAGTAGCCTGTGAGGACGAACGCCTCCTCCTGCGGGGGGATGGCCATCACGGGCGTGTACACCAGGCCCAGCTCCATGATGCCCGCATCGAAGCGTCGCAGGGTGGCCGTGTAGTAGAGACGGATGCCCGAGGAGTCACGCCGGCCTAGGAGGCGGCGGGCGGGGTCAGCAGAGGCCCGCTCCCCTCCCCCGGGGCCACCCTCGGCTTCGTCCCCACACCCAGCGGCACCAGGCAGACACGCCGGCATTGCTGCCACCAGACTCAATGAACGCACACCGTGCGAAACCCACGCGGGAAGAAGGAGCCGTTGCTTCGTGGGGACCGAGGTGAGGGCTTCGGGAAACTTGATCAAGGCGGGAACTAAGTAACTAACGCCCGGTGCCTGCGGTGGGTCTGGGAAGCTCGCGACACCTCGGCCGGCTTTGCGAGGACTTCGCTCTTCTTCCTCTACGTTCAAGGGCATCTCAGCCGGAATTGGCCGCAGGGTGACCTCTCGGGGTGGTTTGGCAAAGAGGAGGCCAAGGAGCTCGTCCCGGGCCATCTCAGAGGAGCCTCGGGCCCTCGGGGAGGGTGGGCAAGGGGACGGTGCTCCTGCTCGCTGAAGCTGGCAAGTGATGTGAAGGCCCCCCCTTTCTGGGGCTCCCCACTTCACTCCTCTGATCCCGGTCCTGCGGGATCAAGGCAGACCCTGCATGTGCTCGGGAAAAAGCTGAGCACGGACCCCTGCAGAAAGGCGGCGTGAACGGTTCAGCCCCCCGCTCACCCGCAGCCCCGGCCTCCACCTGGTCGACAGTGCGCTGTGAGCTCTCGGCCAAGCTGCTGCCCCTCTCTGGGCCTCGGCCGGAGGCCAAGGGCCTCTTCCTAAGGAGAATTCGGCGCTTCTGCCCATCAGGGTCCGGCCACACCTGCCTGCTGTTCTTGCAGCTGCTCATCGGAGAGTCCACAAGCTCCCCGCACAGCCTCCCAGCGGTCCCACAAAGCCGAGGGTCGGAGGCCCAGGGACGCTGGCACCCGCAGGCCCAGCCACACAGCCAGGTGGCCTCCAGGAGCCTTGCGCCTGCCCTACGCCTGCCTGGAGTGGGTCAGTGACGAGGCCCTGAGCACTTTGGGGCAGATACCGGGCTGGCCCCATGGCGAAGACCAAGGCTGCACGTGGCCCCCTCTTGCCTCTGCCTCCCCCCTTCCCTACTCCACGCTCCCCTGCTACGTCCGAACTCACAGCCTCTGTGTCTCCGGGCCGTTTGCATCAGAGGATAATAATAAAAAGGGAGATGCGATTGGCTCAAATTCCGAGGGGGATTAAATAATGAAATAATCGTGGAATTTGATATTTATAGAAAAGCAGCCCATCGCCAGATTCGCGAAGTGACAGGAGCGTCCTCGCATTTGGCAAAGGACCCATAAATACAGTCAGATAATCAGGCAGAGACAGACCGCTCTGACGCTTCGGGAGTGCTCAAAGATCCATCTGCTTTCAGATTTCAAAGGAGCAATAAATCCCGTATCATGCCAAAGCCCGAGCTGACTTAGGCCCTTCTCGGTGCATGCTGCAGATAATTCCGGCGGCGGCAGAAAGCATCAGTCATGCCTCGGGGAAGACAGTCACGGGCAGCCATTGGTTGCCCGCAGCCTGGTGCCCACATCCCGGTGGGAGTATAACACGCATGAGCTTTTCCAGCCTCAGGAGGGCCGTGGGAGGTAAGCAAACACGCCAGGGGCACAGTCACCCACCCAGGATCACCCAGCTAGGAAGGGACAGGCAGGGACTCAGCCTGGAGCTGATAATCTTCTCCCTCAGGCTATGCCTGCCCCTCGCAAGTGAGAATAAATGTCTTTTTAAAAGAGAGTGAGAGGAAGAAGCCTAAGTGGCTGTGGATGGTGGAAGATGCTGGTGAAACAGAGGAAAATAGTTTCGGTTTCTGATATGGAATCAGCCGGAGTCTCTGTCTTATAGACCGACTCTGACTGTTCCGCCTTCAGGCACGGCGTGATCCAGCGGCCCCCACGGTCTGGCCCAGCATGCTTTCCCGACCCTTACACTGTAGCCAGGACACGTGCCCCAGAACCAGGTCTCGACTCAACGCTCTCAGTTCCTGCCTGGTGACCGCGGCAGGCCGTGTCATCCTGCTGGACCTAAGGTCTGGGCTGGGAAACTGGGGAACGAGATCTCCACCGGCATTGCACAGAGGCCGAAAGATGTGTGTCTGTGGAGTGGTAAGTTCGGTACGAACTCAAGAGCAGGAAACACGAGGGCCAGCCCACCAGTGCCAGGGCAGACATCGCCAATCAAGCCCAGCACCGCCCTGCTGGGTCCCAGACGCCCCCAAATGCCGTTCCCACACGCACGTTCACGCTCGAGGCAGGAGCGGGGTCATAGCCAGCACGCAGTTGAGCCAGGGGTCGGCTTGCCCCGAGGACGGTCCTGGGGGCCGTTCCTCCATCGGGCAGGCCATCGGAGGGTGGGCACGGGGCCGGGACCATGCTGGCCCTGGAATGGCCCGCACCCTGCCAGCCTGTTCTGGGAGGGCAGAGGCAGCATGCATGGGTGCTGGAGGGTCACCCGGACTGGGATGAGGGGCAGCGACTGGTCTGAGCAGCCTCGCAGAAGTCAGACTTCCGGGGGAAGTGACACCTGGGACAGCGCCCCGGCCTGAGGCCTCTGTCCCTGAGTCCACCGTCCCTGAGCTGTGGGTCAGCACACGCTAACACTAGCCCCCTGCTCTGGCTGTTCCCACAAAGTGAGGAAGGGGTGCGGGTGCGGGGGTGGGCTGCGTTCACTCAGGCTGAGCCAACACCGAAGCGATTCCTTAAGTTGGACCGGCCTTGCCCAGGCCACCGCAGGGCTGCGTGACGGAGGACGTGGCCACGGTCCGGGCCAGACCGCCTGACTCCCGGAACCCCTGCTCGCTTCGCGGCCCCGGTGGGGTGACCTCACTCTGGCCTCATTCGGGCCTGCAGAGACCAGGACCCGCTCTCCCCGGGAGCTGGTACCCGGGACGGCGCCACATCTGCGTCCACGGCGGCCAATGTTTGCAGACAGCGGGTTGCGGGGTGCTGAGCCAGCGTGACGAGGCCCTGGCCGGGGAGCCCACTGCCGTCCCGGGACACGGACGGCGGACGAGAGGCAGGAGGGGGACGCGTGCCGCAGGGCCCCGTGACGAGGGGCTGGACTTGGGGCCGCGGAGCAGGGCGGAGCGGACGCCCAGGGTCTTCCTGACACGGCCCGGCCCGGCGGAGAGGGGGTGTCGGAGGGGAGGACGGCGCAGGGCTGGACGCGGCCCGCGGGGTGCCTACCTTGCATCCGCAGCGGGTTGTGGTAGTGAACCTCTAGGCGGAGGAAGCGTGACGATCCCGCGCCCCCGAACGCGAGGCCGGCTTCCTCCGGGTAGTAGAAGGCCTGCGGGCAGCGGGAGAG